ACCCAAGATTGGCGAACTCCAAGTGCCTGGAAGCTAAGATGAATGGTAAAGTGAGTTCGCGACGTCCTTCTGGACTTACTTGCGATTCATCACGCTCTTATACATTGGGCTGGGGCTGAGTGCTGGTGGCTAAATTCTGTGCCTTTAATTAGGGTTCTTTTATCCCATTGGGCAACATTTTACATTTACGAACCAATTGCGATATACCTGGCGTAGTGCCTATATGACAAAGAAGTCCCTCCCTGCGTTTGCGTGGGAACTTACAGGATCTTAACCGCCGGCTGAAATGATGGCTAGAAGAATGGCAGTGTTTATATCCTCGAAAAGGAAAAAGGCACCATCAACACGACGGGGAGCTTTGTGATATAAAGCACACCCTCAACTAGGCATGCTGTGATGCTGTCCTTGTTCGTTGTCCTTTTATGTGCTCGTACGTGCGTGCTCTCAACTTCGGTTCTGGTTCTGGAGTACAGTGTGTCCATTCCTTTCGGAGCAATCGAGCTCCACCTCCCACCCACTAGTCACGTTCGTTCGTTCATTCTCTTTCGCCATATTGTCTCTACTTTTCTTTCACAGCACCTTCCACTGCAGCCAGAGGGATCGGAAGTGCGGCATACATTGCTGTATAGCAGCTTTTATATATAGGCCATATTTGGCACAACTCTAGCTCTAGAATTTTCTAGAGCTAATTAATCACCTATGGCTCTAGGAAATCCTGGATCTAGAGAGTTGCAGCCATGCTAAGTGCATTTATATGATTCATTTTATTTATAGTTTAGATTACATAAAAAATATTTAGACCACTTTAATTTAGTCTATAAACTACAATTTCAGCATAGATATCAAAGCTAGAGCTGTGCCAAACGAGCTCATAGTCCTTACGTTGTAGTTTCGTTACTGAATATTCTCAAGTTCATCTAGGGCGATTAATGTTCTAGAACATATGCCACGCATGTTTGAGGCCCAAGGCGCCTACTTGGTATTAATTGAATACCCATTATATATATTTGTTAACAATTTGTATTTCTACCTGTTTATATTTAGAAAAAGGTACATAATACAAAATTTTGTGATTCAGTGAATTTGTAGGGGTTATATAATATTTTTGTTATTTTTAGAAAATACAGAACCAATTAGATGACTAAATTTATTCAATTCCCATTGTATGATGGCCAATGATATTTTACTTTGAGTTATGGTACCAAAATCATAATCCGTTGAAACTTCTATTGAAAGATTAGGCACTTTTTCATGATTAATTTTAAAATATAAATCATAACAAACTCAGATACTAGCATGTATAACCCTAACATACTAGTTCAACCGAACAACATCAATGCGAACTACACTATCATTGAACCAGTAGTATACTGAATTAATAGATCAGGCCAGCATACGTACTTTTCGTTTGGAGACCCCGCTTTTACATTGGTTATCCTTCTATGCATGGTGGAGCGTGCGTGTTATATATGCATTTTGGCATTGTACAGCTACAGATTGGTCACATCCCCGTGAACCACGTGTCCAGGTTCATTTTCTTTGTCTATTATTATCCAGTACTACTCGTGGGCCAAAGCCAAGTGTACAAAAAAACATTCCTCAAGAGCGTTGTTTTTCTCTACTTTTGACGTGGCTGCTGCTTGCATCTTATCTTACCCCTATCTGTGTTCAACGGTTTTCGGGTAGTGCTCGATCCCTGTCCTGTTGCCCTAACAATCGATGTAAAGTTTTTTTTCTTTTCATTATCGTTTGAGAAAGAAGTGTAGTGCAAATGCAATCCCTGATGTTGTTCCATATTCCTGTGCACGCTCATCACTTTGTGAGGAATAATGGACATCAATTGGTGCCTCCAACTGATGATGTACAAGGTTATACATCATGCACCAGGAAAAAAAAATGCAACAAAACTCTATCCGGATGAGGCTTTGGCCTACCTAGGCTGCTTAACTTTAACGTATGAACAATGTTCTATTTGGCCAATCAAAGCAGCGGCGAAGCCAAGGCCCGGCCACCTGGGCCAGTGCGCGGGCTCACCTGGTGAGCGGGTTAGGCCAGCACATCAAGTAGTTTGCTTTCCTAATTAGTAGGAAGAGGTCTATAGAGCTACTCAACAAGCATGGTACAAACTTTCTGCTACTCTGTAAAGCTCTGTGGGCGGTCGTTAGTGGTAGACGTTAAAACCCACTACACTAGCCAGGAATCTATACTAAGGAGATGGATTAGCTAAAAATTATTGTGGTTCCCTAATTTTGCTTTCATGTACAATGCTCTATATTATGTGTTAAGGTTCTATTTGGCAAGGCTTTGACTCTAGTTTCTCGCGGCTCCTTGTAAGGAGCCCTGCTAAATGGCAGTCCACAAAACGGCTCTATGCAAGGAGCCCAGAGGAGCCAGAGCCATTTTTTATAGAGGAGCCAGAGCCGCAGAAATATGACTTCTCCTAATTCCTCCTCGGAAAACTAATACAAGTTATTAAAAAACTGGAGTTGTTTTTGCCAAACGTTTTTCAAAATATCTTCAGCTGCACCAAAAAAGCTACTCCACTTGAGGAGCCAGAGCCGTGCCAAATGTATCCTTAGTATTACGTTGCGTCTCGCCTAGGCTCCACAAAAATGCTGGCTCTGCCGCTGAATCAAAGTCGTGAGGTTATGCATTTTTATTGATGGAGCAGAAAATTATTGGGCATGATAGGTTCAAAGTTCCAAAGGAATGATAATTTGTTTGGATCTTCAAAAAATCATATGTTGCCATACTTTAGTCACTATCATGAAACCATAGACATATTTATTTTTGTTGGAAAAGAAAACCCTTCACTAATTAATATTATCTCTAGTAAAAAAATACTTGACAAAATTGTTTTTCCATAATTTTTATGGAATCGTTCAAATTTAAAAGATTTTTGCAAGTGTTTTTAATACAAATATATACGTACAGTTTACATGTTTTATTTCAAAGTAAATAATGTAAAGTTATTGATGTTTGCACAGTTTTTAAGATTTAAACACATATTGTTCTGAAGAACAGGTTTTTTTTAGGGAAACTGGAGGGGTTTGCACCCCTACAGCAACTTTATTGAATAAAGAACAGGTTTTTTAACCGGTTGGAGCAGTACCGAGAGATCAGGTTATAAATTAGCACCGCTTTATATCAATGCCCACTCATCAGATCATGAACAAATACTAGTTATTGTCCGTAGTGGCATGTGAATTGGACCTTCGTACAATCAAACACTCATAGTTTTTCCTGCAGTGGGATTCATACTGGCCATCGTACAAAGGATCGGAGCACGATCCATCCATCCATCACGCACAACCAATTGAAGCTCTTATATATGCAAATATATATTTCAAGCGCCATTCATGAGTGGCTTCTTCATCTCCCATGCTGTGAGACGGGTCACCTTGACGTCCGCCTTCCCGTTGTTGAACACGTAGAGGCGAGCGTTCTTGCCGATGGCGAGCGACGGGTAGACCCTGGAGAGGATGCACGTCTTGCCCCCGGCTCCAAAGCTCTCCACCACCGACCGGTCGATCTGCAGATGGGAAAATTAACAAGCAAATAAAGGTAATTTAATTATAAGGGAAAAAATTGGGTCAGTTGTACTACTACTCGCATGCATGCATACCAGGCTTCTCAGAGATATCTTGCCGTTAGAAATGTCTGTGTCAACAAAACCTGCAAACGTCGGCTGGTACAGGTTCGGGTCCAGAGATGACCTATCATGCGATCCGATCCAGAAAAGAAATGGAAATCCAAGTCAGTGCTGCAGTCAAGTACAAGTGTACAACTAGCAGAGCCAAGCAGCACCACCAGCATGCATGCTCTGCTATTTGCGTACTGCATTGCAGGTGATCAAGGCACGAAAAACTCATGGCTGACCACATGCCAACGTGTCACGCATCGACCTGCCGGGCAGTGCGCGGGGCACTCACTTACTTGCAGGGGTCGGTGCACATGAGCACCACGGGCTTGTCGCCGCCGCCGCGCGCGGGCCGGAACACCCTGAAGAACACCGCGGTCCTCTCCTCCCGGTTGGCGGAGGCCAGCACCCACAGCCCGAACGGGCCCACGCCGCCCTCCACGGCCGCGCCCCTGGCGCCGCAGAGGCGCTGCGCGTCGCTGGCGAGCGCCGGGTCGTCCAGCGCCTCGGCGCCCACCAGGCTCGACACCTCGAACTCGAAGCTCACCTCCACGTCAGCCTGCACACAGTATGTATAATGACGCAAAGTGCACGCACGATCTGGTCAGCTCGCACCTGGACAAGAAAAGGGCTCGTTCGAGCTGCTAACGTACGGTCGAGTTTGTGCGCGTGGCGGTGAAAGGTGCGGTGAAAAATAGGTGGGCGACGTAGATCGCACGAACGGACGGGAACAGTGGCCGCGCACGGCTGCACGGCACGCTGGGCACGATCAGCTTGTGCGTGCAGCTGAGCACTCGCGGCAGATAAGATCTCCAGGATTGCTGGTGTTCCTTTTTGCCTCTTTGGATTGGAAAAATATATGCATGCGCAGGCAACATATGGACGGTGAAAAGGATCGCAAGTGGTAAAGCACGAGAAAGGTACCTGTGCCGTTTGTATCCCGGTCACCTCGACGTGCTGCCCTGGCTTGATTACCCTGTTCTTGAGAGTGACCGACTTGCCTCTGAGCGCCTCCACCTCCTCGATGGGCCACTGCAGCAGCTGCTTCCCGCTGTGATCCAGCCACACCGTCCTCGGAATCGCCTGAATCCCAGCCCAGCCCTTGGCCACGTCGTCGCCGGCGGTGTCGGACTCGTTGGCCCAGCCCCAGAGGATCCGGCGCCGCTTCGCCGGGTCGTAGAACGTCTTGGACGCGTAGAAGTTGCCGTAGTCGTACCGCAGGTGGCGCTCGTCGCCAGCGGGGTCGTCCGGCACGTACCGCTCGGCCGTCCGGTCGTACGTGCCGATGGTGTAGTAGTCGTACCGTCGCAGGTCGAGGCTGTTCTTGAGCACGTACTTGGCCTGACGACTCGAGCCCGACTCCGCCTCCGACGTTTCGACGCCCACGCGCCGGCCGGCCCTGCTGACCGGGTAGAAGTCCGGGCACTCCCACATCCCCGTGTCCGCCGAGTGCAGCGGCCGCCGCGCCCGCGTCCACCGCTTGAAGTCGCGGCTCCGGTACACGTACGCCACGCCGCGGGCGGCACCGTCCACGCTGCCGATGAGCAGCCGCCAGTGGCCGTCGTCGGCGTGGCGCCAGGCCGTGGTGGGGTCGCGGAACTGCGTCGCGTTGACGCCGCCCCTGGGCACGATGATGGGGTTGTGCGTGGGCTTCACCCACTCCCGGAGCAGCGGGTCCGACTTGTTCCGAGGGTACGCGATGTTCTGGACCTGGTTGTTGACGTCGGGACGGTTCACGCCCGTGTACATGATCGCCGGCGTGCCGTCGAGCAGCGTGGTCGCCGACCCGGACCAGCAGCCGTACTTGTCGGATGCGATGCTGGGCTCGATCGCCGGCTTCAGGGCGACCCAGTTGATGAGGTCCCGCGACACCGAGTGGCCCCATACGATGTTGCCCCACACGGCGCCTTTCGGGTTGTATTGGTAGAAGAGGTGGTACCACCCCTTGTAGTACAACGGAGCTGTCGTAGATATACATATATCAAATCAGAATTTTTTCTAGAAATTTTTCAAAGATCACCATGCAAAACGTGTAAGTTTTATTTACAGTTAATATCAGAACACCAACAATATGGTATTGGTTCTGATAAAACATTATGGAATAAACTTTATTTCTCTAAAAAAATCAGTATGGTACTGTTATGGAGCTATCAGATATTATGCATGCATGGAAATGGAACTAACCATGCATTTCTTTGAGGAAACTGAACTTTGTTCATTTCTAGCTAGTGGTAGTGGCCAGGACGACCATGGTGCGAGACAGTCAGCCCGTGCATGGTCCACCACACAAGTATGCTATTGCTATGCAAGTATGCGTGCCTACATCGATCTGGAGTCCGCGACTGTCTCCCATCTCGTCCTAAAAGGCGTCACTACTGTTTTACGCCGCGTGTAATGCATTTGCACAATTGAGAAAACATATATATATATATATATATATCTATCTATATAGAAATCTACTGCAGATACTCGTCGTCCAGGGCAGATCGATAGTTATTCATCGAAGGAAATTTATTGGCAAGGAATCGAAAACGACGTACCGTTGGGATCTGACGTGGCAAAGTTTCGCCGCCGATGGAATCATAGCGCAGAGCAGCCGACGGATGATGTGAATGGAAAAAAAAAACCGAGTTAGAACCAAACCTTGACAATACCTACTATCTTTCTTAAATAAAGCCTAATAAAAGGAAAAGGCAACAAAAGTAGAGCTACCTACTTAGGAAGTTAGAAGTGACTGTTTACGAATCTAAACACTGGTAATTTGGCAGAATATATGTTCAACTTATTGGCGAACCTGAAACTTCCTCAGTTTACAGTTAACGGCTACCTGGGCGGCACTGCTAGAGCGTGATAGACAGCACTGTCCTCCTCTAGCAGTATGAACATATACGAAATTTGCGGTTTAGTAGTTAAATAACGATGGAATGATTTAAACGTTAAGTGTTCAGACTTCAGAATCATCTCTTGATTCCTGTCATGACGAGCATGTCTGACATCAATGTTCTCAGTTCTCTGTTCCCAAGCATATACATACTTGAGCCTCTTGTTTCAAGGAAGTTTAACATCGATCTCACCCTAAAAAACCTCGGGTGGCTAATTTATCTGCATGACCTGTCTAGTTGTGCCTCGATCAGTGAGAGAACAACACTGTCTAATTTCAAGGCTTTTTTTGGACGTGGGCCATGCAGGCAGCAAGTGTGTAGATCGAGCAAGGTTTACGTTACCATTGATCCAGTTCTTGCGAGGCTGGAAATGGTACCCTGTCCTCAGCAGGGGGTCGACAATGGAGGGCGGCACGGTGTCAGCCGCCGCCTCAACCTCGAGGTTCTCGTAGTCGTAGACGACATGAGACGCCCCGGCGAGCTGCAGGAGCAGCAGCCATGCCCAAGCAACCCTTCCAAGCGCCCTCATTGCTAGCTAGCTCTCGCTTTAGGCACAGAAGTGTAGCCGTGTAGCAAGAACAAGAAGAGAACTGGTAGAGGATGCCCGGAAGCAGAGGAGAGGAGCTCTATTTATACTGCGTCGGCGATGGCCTGGGCGTCGCGCGTGAGAGGTGTGTGCGATCAGGAGCTGTCTTTTTACTTTTTAGGCGCTGGAGGTGAGAGCTTTGGGCCACCACCCACTGTTCGCTTTGGGCCACCACCCACCTGGGCATCGCAAGTGTGTCCTGTTCGTTCGGCTGATAAGTCATGACTGAAAGTACTGTTAACTGATTTGTTGTGAGAGAAAATTATTGTTCATTGGCTGAAAAAGTACGGCTTATAAGCCAAACAAACAGGAGGAGTCATATCTTACTACAGTACTACCAGTACTTTACTAGGGAAGTGCTAGTAACTTGCGGTTTGGCTTTGCTTATAAGCCGAGCAAGTATAATAATCCATCCGTTCTAAATTATAAGGTGCTTTGATTTTGTTTGGTTTATATTATTATATCTAGATGTATAGTAAAATGGATGTACCAAAAAAGTCAATGTGGCTTGTAATTTGGAATTGAAGGAGTAGCAGGTTGTAAGTTGGCTAAATGCTAAGGTGGAGGAGAGAGAAGAGGAGAGAAAACAGAAGCGGGCTGCAAACTTACAACCGGTTTAGGCATAAAAACCAAGAAAATTTGTGAGAGAGACGAGTGGGCCATATATTAATAATGATGAGCTAACTACTATGTGAGTGTGCTGAGAGAAGACTACAAAGAAACCTTACCACCAGTAGTCGGCTATATTATTAGCTTTACTCTTAAGAAATGTCAGTGCACCACCTGGTTACATTTTGCTGGTTGGAGCGTGGAATCAAAGCTTTTTTTTTTTGGTTGGTTCTTGCCACATCCTTTGATTCGGATAGGTTCGTTTCCTGATTTTGGTTTTGTCTAAGCTATTCCAGGCTTAGAGCTGCCAACCTGTGCAAGGGCGCATGTCGATGAGCTATATGCTAATAGTAATACATCAATACTTGTTCATATTATAGGCGGATTTATTGCGTACTTCTGATGGATTTTAGTATAACAGAGTACAGACAAGTGTCAAACTTGCGCCTAGTTAAAAACAAAATCTTACAATAACTTAATGATAAATCAATAATTAATAATATAAACCATCAACCCATGCTCCCGCACATTACAGAACCCTTGAATATATATGCACTGAAAGATTGCAATATTGATATCTACAATTAATAATAAAAAAAAAGTTGTCACTGTGCTCTCCGGCCTTTCTCTTCATTTTGCAACAATGTGCTCTCCGCTGTGATAAACTTATCAGTTACTCTATGTATTTTTATATTTCTATTAATGGTTTTTGTCCGTTTACAATGTACATTCATGTGTCTTTGATATGCATTCAATTGAAAACTTAGATTAAGCTATGGTGTCTCTTGTTGGAACTCATATCTCATAACATCGTAAATCTAGATTTCGACTTTCAAATTTGACCTTATTAGTTGCTACAAGTTTTTTAATCCAAAAATTAAATTAATTCTTCTTCTTACTGTATTATACTTCACTTTATGCCCCGTTCGGATTACCCTATATTCGGCTTGTTTTTTCAGCCGGAATAGTGTTTTTCTCTCACAACAATTCAGTTAGAATAGTGTTTTTCAGCCAGTTTCAGCAAGATTCAGCAAGCCGAACGGGGCCTATTTACTACTATGATGGCGCAAAATTCATTTAAGCTTGCACCATGATGCTCAAGATGGATGGCAAAGTTTGAAGCGAACAATGCTAACCTCAAGTAGATATTAACATTTAAGCCAAATAGCCATTAATTACTCCAAAGAAACAGGGAGGTCATAGTAACTTTGGTATCCAGTGACCTTATCCAGTATTCAGTATGCTAAATTTTTTTTTATAAAAATTGTGTGTAGTAACTTTTTTATTGACAAATATAGTGCACACAATATAATATTAATCTAGGTGTGTCATAATGCTTCAGTTAAAATGCAGTTACTTTAAGTTGCTCCATCCGTCTAGAAATGATAATTATATCATATTTGACAATGAAAGCTAAACTTTACAAAACTTGACCAACAATTAGGCAAACTATATGCAAGTTTAGAGCATAAAACTTGCATTAATAGATTTTATGTTGAAAGTGTATCTAAAATGATATTGATGACTTTGCAATTGATTACATATTATAAGAGAGATTAAGGATCAAAATCTACGTTGTATGATTTTCGTTCTGGTCAGATACGATTATCATTTCTAGATGGAGGGAGTAGTTTTTTTTTGCACAAATAGAAATGAGTAAATTTAGGAACATATGTCGGTGTAATATATCGTTGTTTAAAAATATCTATATTTCCCTACAACATGTAGATGGTGGCATGGTGCTGGTGGTATTCGGGAATCATCGGGTCCGAACGGCGCACGGGACGGGGACGCACGGAAAGGGTGAGACTGCGCGCGGGGATCAGCCGGTACGTTGGTTCTGTTTTGCATGGCTTTTCACGGGTGCTGCAGGCCCACACGCTCCCACGTGCACGAGTGAAGCCTGGACGTTGGATTTCCGATCGACTGCTACAGCAGCGTAGGTAAGTACGAATGTTTTCTTTTTCTTTTCTTTTTTTCGTTTTTCTTTTCTTTTCTCTTTTTATTTTTTTTTATTTTTGTGCTTCATTTTTTATTTATATTTCTTTTTTATGTGATTTTTATTATTCTTTTCATTTTTTATATTTCATTTTTTTCTTTTTTTACATGTGTTGTCTTTTGATTTCTTTTTTGATTTTCTTTGTTTCTTTTCCAATTATGTTTTCTTTGATTCATGCTTTTTATTTTTCAATCTTTCTTTAATTTTTTTCTTTTCTTTTTTTTCCTTTTTTCACGCATCATTCATTTTTTTTTAAATTTTTCTGTTTTATGCGTTTTTTATTATTTTTATTATTTATATTTTTTTATCTTTCTTTTATTTATGTTTTCTTTTCTTATCATCTTTTATGATGTTCTATGTTGGTTTTTTTTATGTTCATGTAATATACGTGTGATGTTCTATGTTTTTGTTGTTGTTCGTGAGATATACATGTGATGTTTTGTGATGTTTTTTTATGTTTATGTGCTATGAATGTAATGTTCTATGATGTATTTTGCGATGTTCGCGTAATATATATGTGATGTTATCGTAGTATACATGTGACGTTCTATGATTTTTTGTGATGTTCACACAATATACATATGATGTTCTATGATGTATTTAGTGATGTTCACATAATATATATGCGATGTTCTCTAATGTATTTAGTGATGTTCTATGGTGTATTTAGTGATATTCACTTAGTATTCATGTGATATTCTATAGTCTATTTTAGGATGTTTGAAAAGTGTCCATGTGATATTCTTTTTAATTTTTTCTCTATTGCATTATTTATTTATTTTTTCTCATGCTTTGCTTTAGATTTTATTATTTTTTATTTATGTTATGTATTTATTTACTATTCATATATTTCATCATTTTTGTTATCATTATTTTTATTTTTATGTATATTATAATACCAATTGCATGAACCTAAAACTAGAATATTGTTCTTCTAAATTGAGAACATTTTTCATATGAAGACGAAACATTATTCTCTAAACTTAGAACATCGTCTCTGCTCAGTAACAAAATGTTCTATGTTCATAGATAAATGTTCGTTAATAAAATTTTATCTAAATATATACATGTGGGATCTTATTTTCAACGATTTATTGCAAGAAACCTAATGGTGTAATCAGAATTTAATTCGGATGTTTGAATTAGCAGTTATTACTTTTTTCTAGTTTGTAAAGACGTATGACGTGCAAATCAAGCGGATAAAAGAAATCACGCATCCAGGAAACTACCGCGCGCTGCTGACCGGTGGGCGGTAAACTGTCGGACGGATGTTACGGATGGGCGGACACTAGCACCCCGGTGGTATTTGCCTTTATTTTCGTCTGCTACCTTTGGGAATCAATTGCGCCAATGCCGAACTACCAATTACGCGCTCCAGCTACGCGCCTACGCGAGGTACACGTCAACTTTTGCTGGGTCTAGCTGGAATAAGTAACAGTTAGGCGCGCGGCTAAAAGAGCTGCCACTGTATTCTCGGATATATAGGAAAAAACCACCGTCAAGGAATCTTCCGACTTTCCGAGCACACCGTCAACTGGAACAGGCCGCTTGTTGTTCGTTCGTTGTCGCTGTCCTTCCACCGTGTAAGTTCTCTCAGCTTCGGTCACTTCTCAAACTTTGATGCGATCGACATCCGTGTCCATTCCTTTCCGAGGTTCATGCTGTAGCTCGCACTAGCTAGGCACGTTCTCTAGCGTCATATACTCTCGAATCATCGATATCGACTCTAACTTTCCTTTCGCACAAACGCTCACCACCGGCCAACGGAAGTAAGTGAACGCGAAAATGCTTCACGCACTATATGATCATTCAGTTCGTCGCGCAAAATTTTGTCACCGTATATTTTCTCATGAGCCGTGTTTCCTGGTCTTGCAATTAAGAAGCACCAACATAATAACCATATCAAGTAGATGAAGGCCTCTCAGTTCAACAGTGTGCTGATGACATAATCATATTGAACATGATATCGAATTGAACAAGCAAATAATAGAAAACAAAATCTTTTGTACGTCTTCGAAAGCTTTAGGGATTAAAAATTGATTTTCACAATAGTAAATTGTTTTGCTATGAGGAAGCTAAGGATTTCGTTGAAAAATACTCATAGATCTTTGGACGTAGGACGGGTCAATACACTTTTAAATACCTGGGTATACCAATGAATTGTAGAAAGATCAATAACAAAGAGTAGAAATCTGCCAAAGAACACTTCTAAAAGAAAATACGTAGTTAGAAATGAAAACTTTTATCCTTATGAAGGTCGGCTAGTTTTGTAAACTCAATTTTAAGTAGCCTTGAAATATACATGATATCCTTCTTTGAATACTAAAAGGTCTTT